TCATTTGTTTTTCAACAGGACAATGATGCAACACACCCCCAGCCTGTGTTAGGGCTATTTTACCAAGAAGGAGCGTGATGGAGTGCTGCATCAGATGACCTGGCCTCCACAATCCCCCGACCTCAACCCAATTGAGATGGTTTGGGACCGCAGAGTGAAGGAAAAGCAGCCAACAAGTGCTCAGCATATGTGGGAACTCCTTCAAGACTGTTGGAAAAGCATTCCAGGTGAAGCTTGTTTAGAGAACGCCAAGAGTGTGCAAAGCTGTCATCAAACCAAAGGGTGGCTATTTGAAGAATCTCAAATATAAAATATATTTTGATTTGTTTAACACTTTTTTGGTTACTACATGATTCCATATGTGTTATTTCATAGTTTTGATGTCTTCACTATTATTCTACAATGTAGAAAATAGTACAAAAAATGAAAAACCCTTGAATGAGTAGGTGTGTCCAAAATTTTGACTGGTACTGTATATCTCCAATTCCTTCAAACTTTTATGCTGTGAAATTGTGAGTCACCTCCCACTACTATAGATGTCATTGTATACATACCGTATATAGCCAGCCTGTTCACAAATCAAAGCTGCAAAGATGAAATGCTATCATTGGACACTAATCCTCTGGATGGTTAGGTAAACTCACAACAGTTAAGCAGATGGCAAGTGAGTATGAAGAGTAGAGCTGCCATTTTTATAGAATTAAATTCTGTGCCATATCTGGTGAGTGGCACCAAAAGCCTTGAATTAAGATAAAATAAAATAAGTTGAACTCTGTGTTTTGTATGTCAATATTAGTGGTAAGACTACATTGCTGTCATCTGCTTCTTCAAATAGACGCCAAAGACTCACTGATGTTAGATTCCATCAGGTGAAACCTGTTGACGGGCAATCTCATCACTATTCTAAACAGGTGATATTGAGGTTGAATCATTTATAAGTGTTTTAAATGAATAATGAGTGATTTAGACGGTGGGTGCTAGCTACAGCAGACTGAATGGCTGCCCTAATGTAGCAGGTCACAGGAGCAGATAGGAAAGCCATGGCAAGCCTCCAGCAACAACACAGAGCCAGCCAGACTACTAACTATAAATCAGTCACTACCGCCAATCTCCAGGTACCACAGGTGCTATCTCTGGCGTGTGTGTGTGTGTGTGTGTGTGTGTGTGTGTGTGTGTGTGTGTGTGTGTGTGTGTGTGTGTGTGTGTGCGTGTGCATGTGTGTGTTTGTGCTCGTGTTTGTAAACAAATAATCTTCAAAGGGTACAAACCCCCCAGTTCAGAGTGACATGTATATTACACCCCTGAATGTTTTGGCAGTGACATAGTCTTGTTTATGGAGAAACACAGTTAAGGGTATAATTAGTATTGCAGTGATCCTCTAACTTGATTAAGAGTGTCTGGCTTATGCCATGATATCAAAGAACATGGGGTTTTGGGTTGATGAAACAGTGTGTGTTTGTGGGGGGTGTGGGAGAGACTGTGTCTTCTGTTGTGGTGTAGATCTTACTGAGTCACATGGCAGGTGGATAACACACGCACACACACACGTACACACCCGCACACACACACACAAACAAACAGATCCAATGTGAAGGGTTTCTTTTAGCCACTGACAATATGACTGTAACAGTACCTCATTTAGTCATTACTCACCATAAATGGATGCTGAACCATTAGGGGAGCTCTAACATAAGGACACATCATTCACAGAGTTTACCCAAGCCTGAGATTCTCCACAGTCATCGAAAGGTTAGCTGAAGACTAAGTGAGTGTGAATAGGCCTAAGATGACCCATATTAGATCCTCAGAGATGCAGCGGGAGGGAGGACTTCTTTAGACTCTGAGATAACATGGTGTGTCTTCAACACAAACCCTGGTTTAACTTTAACCAGGGCTGATTAGCCAGCTGCCTTTTATTATACTGGACTCTATTGAAGCAATGAACACTGGAAGCTTTTCTCTCAACCAAAAATAAGTCACAGTTACTACCCTCCTTCAATCCCATGTCCCTCTTCAGGGGTCAACAATAGCAATACATTCCACTATAATTTTTGTTAGAGTACTTCAGGTGCAGCCGGATCCCTATTTAGAGCGCTGGGCCTATATTCATAAAGCGTCTCAGAGTAAAAGTGCTGATCTAGGATCAGGTCCCCCCTATCCGTTCATTATTCTAAAAGGCTAAACTGATCCTAGATCAGCACTCCTACTCTAAGATGCTCTATGAGTACAGAATATTACATCAGAACAAGATTTTATTAGGGAACGAAAGAAGGCCCTCACTGTAGGAATGTAAGTGGTCAACTCAAAATTAGTGAAATATTGAGCTATGGGCCAAATTCATACATAACTATATTTCAGAGGGTCATTGTGACCAAGTTATCCGTTAACACCTTTCTCTCCCTGTTCTAGTTTTATATGGGAAGTGGAAGTGGGCGATTGTGGGCTTGAGCATCGTTAACATTTCCCTGATGTGTTGGCCGGCATCTCCTTTGGACTGCCTCACATTTTCTGGGGTGCAGAGGGAGTTGTTGTAGCAACTAGTGGCTTTAGGAGTGAATGAAGCAGATGTGCTAGTCATCTATCAGCTGACAGCTCCAACTCCTCCCTGCCTGAGCAAGTCATCACCACCGTGACAGCCAGCCCAACCAGCCTCATCAATTACACCAACATCCTACCATTAGCGCACAAACGCTTTTCTCCTCCGCTACATTCAACCGCATCCTTCCCAGTCTGCGAGGCCAAGATGGGCCCTCAATTAAGCCTGAATAACTTTCCCCACTTTTTCTCTTTCTTTTCCCCTGCTTACTTCACAGATCGCAACCATAGGGTGAACCGTGTCAGTGATTGATTTAACTCTAAGCATTTAGGCCTTACCATCATCACATATGATATCTATGGTCTATTAGCTTCATTGTCTTTAGTAAATAATAGTTTGCTCAATGTGGCGTGTTGTAGCCTAATGGCAGCATAAAACTGTCATACAATACAATCAACTTAAAGTCCAAGTAATAAAGCCCATAGTTAATTAATGTGTAGTTAACATGTAATTAATATGTAATAACATTGTGGTTTTAGAGACCAGGCTATATTTAGGCTGAAAATCAGAACCAATTTGAGCTGCCTCTCTTGTCGTGCAAGTTACAGATGTAGGATCTTAATTTGAGCCAGTTTGCTACAGCAGGAAAATAATCCTGCAGCAACAGGAAATGTGAATTATTATGTAGATTATAATTAGGGGTTGATACATTGATCAATTTTTCAGCTAAATCAAGTCTGTAATTTCCACTTTGAAATTTCAAACTTAAGAAGTATTTTTAAACCTCAAATACACTACAAGTTTTACATTTCCTGCATTGCAGGAAAGTTCTCATGCAACAGGGTGATCAAATAAAGATCCTACATCTGTAGGGTTAGTAGTGAAATGAAACCCTCAGAGTCGTGGCTTGTTAGTCTTATCCCGTTACTGTATTCCAACCATAGCAGTCAAGAAATGCAGTAAACGAAGCAGTTTGAACACAGCCATATATTCACAGGGACAAACACATGGTTCCATATAACATACAGTATACAACAATGAAGTGACAGCAGTGGCGAACACAAGATCGCACATTTTTCCACATGGATTTTACAGAAGGATAAAGAGGGAAGAGCGTGATATTGAATTATGCCAGAAGAAATAGTATAAATAAGACATTTATATAAAAATAGGCTTTTACAAAATATACTCTCTTTACCAATATTTACCAAAAAGAGTGTCTGGTTGAATATGTCTTGTTAAATTTAGTCAGCTTGAGGTGAGCATGGTCATTCAACACAGACAGTAGTGTTGATGCCCTTAGACCACAGTGAGGGATTCTCCAGACTAGCAGCAAACAGAATGAAGACTAAGGCCACATCCATAATGGCACCCTATTCCCCATATAGTGCACTACTTTTGGCCAGAGCCACTATAAAGGGAATAGGGTACGATTTCAGATTAAGCCCAAACTCATGAGAAAGTCAATGTCAGTAGCCTATTACCAGCCTAACCTGGAACAATATGAGCAACATAATATTCCAGGCTGACTCAATTCCAGTGTATGACTCTAAGTTCTATTTCAGATTGCATTAACAAACAAAACAATAACAAAAACTCTCATTGGGGAAGAACCCATCATCTACACAATTAAGACTTGCTCCATAATGGGCAACATCAGTAGTTTCTTTATGAAATAAATTAATATTATTTATTTGTCTCTAAATACAGTGTGTTAAATATTCCCGATGGCTGTTTAATTTCATTTGCACAGAGCGTGTCCTATTGAGCTACACTCTTAGAAAAAAGTGCTATCTACAACCTAAAAAGGTTATTCGGCTGACCCCGTAGGAGAACCCTTTGAAGAACCATTTTTGGTTCCAGGTAGAAACCTTGTGGGTTCCATGTAAAACCCTTTCCACAGAGGGTTCTACATGGAACCCAAAAGGGTTATATCTGGAACCAAAAGGGTTATCCTATTGGTACAGCCGAAGACCCCTTTTATAACCCTTTTTTCTAAGAGTGTACAGGTACAGAGAACTACAGTAGTAGCACAGTCCAGCATTATATCCAGCATTGATTCATGGTGAGCGTTGGGGGAATCGATTCACTCTACAGTCAACAAATAGTACACATACATCCATAGCTTTTTAACAGTCTCAGTATTGACACCTAGTCCAAAAATATAGGCTGGCTGGCTGGCAGATAGCTCAGTGTGTTATAGTTCATGTCCTGAGGCTGTCCCATCCTGGCATCCAGGACACAGTGTGTTTCCCTTTATGGTGATCTGTTGCAGGCATCCCAGTATATGTCCAATGAGAGGGGTAGAAGGAGCATTGTGTGCAGAAAAATCGCTGTTGTTCCATCTTCTGCTTATGGTTCCTCCATGTCTATTGCTGCAAAAACAGCATTGATCCATTACCTACAAAATGTCCACTATGCACACACACACACACATCCACACACACACACACACACACACACACACACACACACACACACACACACACACACACACACACATCCAACGGTCCAATAAATACTGTCATTTGCAGGTGTACACCTCTGTCCTCTCGCTGCAGGTGTTGCATTTGACGTAGCAGCACCACAGGAACTTGCAGTTGCACTGCCACACGCGGGAGTACTGGTGTGTGTTGTACCCCCGTCCGCAGCACATCAGGTCACAGCCACTGATCTGCTGCGTAACAGTCTTATTACACATCCGGCCCTGCGTCCCCATACTGCCTGTCACCGGGTCCGCCTCGCAGTAGTTAGGGGACTTCTCGATGAACACAAGGTCTGTGTCCATGGGCTTCCGGTAGGAGTAGGGCTTCTTGATCTTGAGGAATTTGGGCCGCTTGTTGCGGCTGGCTTTGACCGGTTCCACGTGCACAGCATGGGCATACTTCTCTTTGAGAATGTAGCCGAGCTCGCGGAACTTGGGAAGTTTAGTCCAGCAGGTTTTAGTGGTGCAGGAGCCCGAAACACCGTGACACTTGCATTCCAGATGCATGTTCTTCTCCAGGATCTAGACACACAAACAACCAGGAAAGAGGTTACCTTTACAGGCCTTGCAAACCATCTGCTGAAGGTTCTATTACTATTTATAAAAGTAAGTCACTGAAAAAGAAAAGCATCTGCAAACATACCATCCTAATATGTATATAATGCACTTATACTGCACGATAATGGCCCCAAGGGTTCCACATGTTTATTGTCATAATAACATGATCCTCTGAAATCTAAACATTCTGTATAGGCCCAAGAGTCAGTGGATGTTGAAGTAAATTACAGGCCTACATAGTTTGATTGCTGAAAACAGCAACATAGCACAGTGACACACTCTGACACTCATGTATGTAAAAGTCAAGGAATTGGGTATCATTGTGTGCACAGTGCAGCATTAGATTAGCAACTAGCTACTTGTGAATACAACATTCCTTTAGAAAACAGTAGCTTTACACAGACTGTACACAGAAGCCATAATTCTGGATCAGGTTACAGTCTCCTTGTGTGTAGGAGTGACTGCACAAGCTGCTGAATGATGTGGATTACTGTTAAAGCCTGCTCCGATGACTATTACAAGTGTCTGCTATCTCATACCTGAAAAGGCACAGGCAACACTATAGCTACACTACTGTCCCAATTCCTTGAACTAAATTGTATGGGGAGTTTGTTTGGAATTCTACTATCTCCATAATAGGATAGGTAGAGATTTGGAGAGTTCCTGCAATCAATGACTAGTGAAAAACCTTTAATTATGTTGTATAAGAACAATACATATTGATTTTCCATGTCCACAAATTCTAGAATCAATAAAACAGATCGTATTTTAGTGCCTTGTACTGGGAATGCATACAAATGCATGAAAGTGCGGAGAAACAACGGTCTTTGCGGTTAGCCCTCTGTGGTATACCAGACAACACTTGGCTTCCCAGCTCCTAATCCATCAGTAGCCCTGTGACCAACACTTGTGACAGGCTTTGTCTGGTCGTATTGGACCTGGGGGCTGTGAACCGCGCTCCTGCTCAGTGTCAATGCTTTGATTAGCATAAATAAAGGAGGGGGGATAACTATCAAAACAGAGAGGCCATTTATTACCAAGGAGAAGGAAAAAGAAAAAGCCCAACTGATCTGAATCCACGAGTGTAGCCCGTTTCACTGTGAGAGGCAATTTAGCTGTCTAGATAAGCGGGGATGAATTCAGGCCCCACACAGAAAGGCAACAGTGAGCTGTTGAGCACAATGTGTGAGTGAAGGCTTTTCAGTCTGTCTGGGTACGTGTTGGTGGTTTGAATCAGGCATCTGTGGCACAGAAAGAAGAGAGAGAGAGAGGGGTAAGGCTTGACTCTGGAGGGAGAGGTGCTTCTTTCCTCTTCACTAACTCCAGTGTACTGCTAAGGAGCCTCGCCCAAGTTGTTTGGCACAATTATTCCGCTTCTTCTTTGACTTCCAGACTTGCTGGAGTCTCAGGGCTGATCTATTATTTGCTGCAGCCATGGATGCACAGGAGCCTTGATCTGAGAATGTGAACAGTCCCTAGTCCCTGATCCCTCTTGGTTGTTTCTAGGGATTTTCCACAGTGTTAGTCATTGACAGACTACAAGCCATACAAAACAGCAGGTGACTCACACAAGTTGCTGTAAAGTCTTCGTTAGGCAGGTAACCGCTCCCAAGAGACATGGTGATACATTAGATATGATTCTACGATGTTAGGAGAGGTTATGGACAATAAGTACCACATAGAAACCTGTGGCACAAGACTATCACACACGATAAGCACTTGGCTCTGCAATATCAGACAAACCAAGGAATTTAGGTATTGCGATAAACATGAAGTAATTGTATCCTCTCCCAAAAGGGAGTAGGCTAATGCCTTTTTGTACAGTGTCAATCTGTTTTCAGCCCAGAGATCTGGGTTCCTAATTAAACCCTGCCACTTAAACTGCTCTTCCCCCCTAAAAGCTTCCATTTATTTCACTGCCTGTTTAATCTTGGCCCCAATGCCTAGATCCTTGGCAAGGTCCACCCGCTCCTGAGCATGGTGGAGACTACTAAATCACAACAGCCATGGTTACTGAGGCCTAGCCTACATTCGGAAGGCCATGTTGTTAACCAACACTTCGGTCTCAGATTTAGATTCGGTCTTTACTTTCAAGTCTTCTCTGTACCTGTTTGGGTAAACTACAGCACATCTTTATCTTCAAGGAACTATCTCCTGATTACAGTAAAGACATTATAAGATTAATGAGATTGATCCAAAAAATCTCTGTTTGTCCAATGTTTTCATACCACAAAAAAAAAAAGGTTTTTGGAGTGAACTACCGTCAGATTTTGTTGTATTGAAACGTTTTTGGAGAATGGTCCTACATCACCTAATGAAATATTCCGGGATCCAGTTTAGGTTAGCTGGGATGACATTTTTACCATGGAAAATACATGCAGCCTTCCATCTAAGATCCTTCCCTATGGAGAGAGAAACAGGAAGTGGAGTGGCGTAGTCATGTACCTTGCATCCCACCTCGTTGTTGTGAAGGTTCATCAGAGACCTGGATTTCTGTTTGAAAATGCATGGAGCCTTCCATCTACAGATGTGCTATCTTAATTTGATCACTCTGTTGTCACAGAGAATTTTCCTGCGCAGCAGGAAATGCAAACTTGTAGTATATTCGAGATTTAAAAAGGCTTATAAAGTTTGTAATTTCCATGTAAACATTTCAGACTTGAACGGAAAATGTATCAACCCCTACAAAAATGTCCATTAATTAAAATCCACATAATAATGAACATTTCCTGCTGCTGCAGGAATATTTTCCTGCATTGAGAAACTGTTCAAATTAAGATAGCACATCTGTAAGATCCTTCCCTTTGGAGAAAGAAACAGGAAGTGGAGTGGCGTGGTCACGTACCTTGCGTCCCACCTCGTTGTTATGCAGGTTCATGAGAGACCTGGCGTTCTGTTTGACCTCCCTGGCGTCAACGAACACCTTGGAGAAGCCCAGGCCGTAGCTGATATCTGCTGAACAGCCGCCCCACTTCCAGCCCTGGCCTTTACTGTAGAAACCCTGCTTCTCCGTGTCACAGCTGCAGTCACTCAGGTTTCCCTGCGTACAGGCTGCAGTGATGGCGTGGGCAACTCCGGCCGCAATGATGGCGTAGGTGAACGCAGCCTCTTTACTGCCTAGGAGAGAACACAGGAGGAACTTGAGCATTTTACTGACTTGCAGTTCATCATTTTAATGTATAAACTGGTGTGATATCTGGGAGATATCTGATATCAGGGAGAATGAATCTATTTATGGTGCTACAGCTGTATGTTTCACAACTTGATAAATGGGACAGGGATAAGGGAGGGAATCTGGATGTTCATTACATACTTCCATCTAAATGGTGTATATCAAATATACTGTATATTGTATGTTGAAAAATAGCAACTTCAAAGCAGATTAACCATTAAGTGTGAGTACTCATATCAAACTCTTTGTCAGTCTCACTCACGACCACGCAAGGACTACAGTAATCTGGAAACTGGCCTGCCTGAACCAAAATGGGTGTGAACTTCCTAGTCAATAAAGCAGTATGAATGAGAGGGCTGTGGAGAAGGAAGAGCTATTGATCCGATCAGAGCCTGGTACGCTCTGTGTATTCTTGCAGGGAGGATCTTGATTCAGAGGTTATCTCCCCAAGGTCCGACTAACAAATAATTTACGCACACTGGGGTGTTCGAATTATCGGCAAATAATTTAAGGTTAACCTGTCATGATTTAAAGAGAGAGCTTCTTGCAAAAAGTTCTTAGTCATAACATGTATTTTAAGGTCTCAAGATTACAAGTAAATAGGGAACAAGGAAACTGGCTCATACCAATACCAAGCTTTAATGTACAAGTGCATACTTGTGTAATTTTCCAATGAGTTAGTTTAGTTTAACATTATTTCCTGATGCAAACAAATGGGTCGCAGTTATCAATCTTATTATTAACCAAACATGAATTCTCTGTGTGCATGCATAGAGAGTGAAATATCTGCATCTGCAGTTATGTAGCTACAGTATATATAAACAATAAACTACTGATGCAATATCCATCATATCTATGTAAACAAACTCCTCCAGTTGACATTTCTGCAAAACAAACATGATACCATCCTCGGTACTTTCTGGTGAACCCAGATTCACTAGGTGCTGCTGCCCTGTTCTTGACATCTTGGATCTGTGCCCTTGCCATTGAAAAAAATCCTCATATTGAGTCATAAATTATGTGGACGTTTTTATAGATTTGATTGGCCCCGAGCCAAAAAAGAAGGTGTGCCAGCACAAAGTCAGTCAGTTCTGACTGCTCCGTTGTAAATTTTTCCCCAGGAGTTCCTAGATCATTGGTTCAAAACAAAGAATGGTAGGAATTATTTAGTACTTTGTCATGAGACCTGAGTGGAAAGACCTAAAAGCAACGGAAGCAATGCTTTGAAGTGTTGAATATGAATACTCTTATTGCACCAAATGTTATTTTAGTGTTCACTGTGCATATGTATGTTGGTTGATCTGCAATGCACAAAATACTACTGAAAAACTACTGAAATACTAAAAACATTAGATGCACCTTGCACCCCTGCAAACAAAAACCCTAGGCTGCCTTTCCTAGGCCACAAGTGAGAGCATGCAAGCTCCACCCCACTCACGCTAGACATCAACAATGGCATTCATTTCTAACCACTAATCTGATCAGTGAAACCAATCTATTTTGCATGGTTGTCCATGCCAAACTCTTCAATGTCTTAAACCACTCATTCATGAAGAAAACATATTGTGAAAGACCACCATTTTCACTTGAACAGCAGGAGAGGATTATGCCCTTCACACCAACAGCTGTAGATAGCAAAGAGCTTTTCATGGTGCCAAACAACCACTAATATTGTGAACTGCCATTGAATGCACTAGTTGTGGATTTATAGTAATACATTGTATGAAGGGAAATAAGAGATCAGGAACTGACAAGAAGCTATACTGTAGTCTACACTCTTAGAAAAGAAGGTGCTATCTAGAACATTAAAGGGTTCTTCATCTGTCCCCATAGGAGAACCCTCTGAAGAACCCTTTTTGGTTGCAAGTTGAACCCTTTTGGTTCCAGGCAGAACCCTTTTGGGTTCCATGTAGAACCCTTTCTACAGAGGGTTCTACATGGAAACAAAAAGGGTTATCCTATGGGGACAGCCAAATAACCCTTTTGGAACCCTTTTTTCTAAGAGTGTAGCTACTTGTCATTGATGGTTTAAACACCAAAAGTGTTCTATTACAATGCTATTAGCTACATTTGTTGTGTGCGACTCTGTTGAAGAGCCCAAATCCAGGTTAGGATATGATCCTAGACTACATTCTAGTTGCAGCCTGAATATGCAACAATCTGGTGGGTGCCACAGATTCACCATCTGCTGAATATCTGATCACATAGGGATCAACATCAGCTGCTCTGTTATCCAGAGTAACTGTGACTTTATGCAATATTATGCACAGGAGCGTACTCCAAGAAGTCCTTCAGACAACTCTAGGGCATGTTTGATAGGCACAACATAGAAAAGTTTTGAAGCAGAAAAGTTCAGCCTCCAGGTTACCAGCCATGAGCCTGCATCTACTGTAGGCCATCCCTGTGTCCCCAAAGACATCCAATACATTCATCAATGCTATTGCCTGACAAGGTAGCTTCAGTAATTCATTTGAACCTTTCCTTTCTTTCATTATTCCCCTGTGTATGTTCAGTTCAGTATTTTAGGCCTTTATTTCCCTGTACTTTCTATCCACTGTAACTTATACCCGTGGTAAGACCCTCGTCTTTACTGTGAGAGCCTCAGCACCCAGTGATAGAGAAAGATAAAGACCAGTGAATATGTGTCTCAGGAGACTATGCTGCGCTGAAAAGACAGGCTGTCAATGTTCACAAGAGCTTTGTTACTGTGCTGGCTTCTGATACCTTTTGGACTTGTTCAGTTCCGCTTCTTTCTCTCTCACTCTGGCTCTCTCTTGTAAGACCAGTATTAGACTTTAGAGATGGGAAGTAAATGACACAGCTTCAACCTAATCATGATAATTTAGGTTATTGTGGAAATGTGTATGCTGTTACAAGTAAGTTGCCTGTCGATACTTCTAGTGTATAGCCTATGGGAAACGTTTTTAAATCTCACAGTCAACATATTGTAATTGCCACAGAATGTTGCTCTCAAATGGACACGCAATACCCTTTCTCTAAAGTCTGTCCATGTTATCGACGCACACATAATGCAAGTATATATAGCCTAAATACAGGAATTTATACGCACTGGTGACATTAAAAGGGGGAAATATATTAGCACCGATGAGTCCGTAGATAATATTCAGAAAAGCAACAAACGATTTGTGTCAAGTCTCATTTGAATAGATAGGCTATGCCAGGTTCTCAAAAGGATACGGGACATTTGGCTGCATGCGCCACAGTGCGCTCTTGACGCACAATTCGAAAGCTAACCTACAGGCCTATATATATTATACAATTGGGGACATTTTCAGTGATGAAATTACATTTAAAAATACTCTAACCAAGCTTGAATTGATTTGCAACATACCCACTTTCAACTCTTTTCCGAAGACCGTTCTCTCTCCAAGCGCAGAGCAGTTCCAGCGCCCATTTTTGAATTGAAACTGACACTCGTTTATCCCCATTTGGGCTCCCTCTCCGATGACGATAATGGCATCGGGGCGACTCTGGCAGATTATCCGCTGTCGGGGAGCCAACCCGGGAATCTTGTTACAGATTATACTTGCACCTAGCGCGACCACGGATGAAAAGCCACTGTAAGGGTACAAGAGTTAGACATTTAATTAAAGTGACTGCCAGACATGGCTATATGGACAACATGGTTTTCAAACTTCAATTAAAATGGTGTTTATTAAAGCGTTATTACATGTTTATAACATGAAATAGGGTTTTACATTCATACAATTTAAAAGCGCAGACTTAATGTTTTCCTTGTCTCTAGAGGTTATTAAACCTGGGTTGTAGAAATACGAGACATATTTAAGTGGTGAGGACATGCCTTCACTTAAACTCAATGAACCTGTATTTGAAGGATCTACAACTGTGTTACAAAATATAAAGGACTAAGTTGAAGCCATCTGAAACCTAATTTATAAGCTTAATTTATTGATTTGTATAGGCCAAGAGATCAGAATAAACTTTGTCAGGTGGTCTCTAATTGTCTCTAAATGTCTCTAATTGTAAAAACTCAGATTTTCCAAAAACTCGATAGACTTTTTGGAACAGAATAATTAAACAAACTCTCAGAAACCTTGCATTGTTCACGGGACAATGTCAAATGAACAATGAATATAGCTTAGATTAATAATAAGAATAATTGAAAGACAGTTTAATTTATAGAAATGTAGCCTGTGTAACAAAATGACATCCAAAACTTTCTGTTTTAGGCTACACTCTTATGTTTTCTATTCTGATATTTAGTAACATAACTATGTTAAATGAACATGCCAATAAGAATCAAACTCACCCGATTTTCAAATAGACAATCCCAAGGCAAAGCAAAACCCGAAAAATCCAACGTCTAGTTTTCCGACTCATGGTGCTTCACTCTTAGTTTCATGCAATGTGTAAGCGAAAGCGATGAATAGATAGATATTCTCCGATAGTCACTGTCCAGGTATCCAAAGTTAGTCCAAGTCGGTACCAACGAATATCCCCAATAGATACTCTCACTAATTTTATATAGTACCCTAGCTGTAATGATATCCGTAAATTCCTCTTAAGTGGCCCCTTTGCTGCGCCGGCTTGTCATTGCGAGGATGTCACAGGTAAAACTGAGGATGAGCAAGTCTTGTAGTGTGATTATCTCCTTCTCACAGTTCCTTTGCTACCCGCATGATCTATATATCTGGCTCATCTATCCGGGGCGTGTTCAGAGAAGACATGGGACCCTACTGTGGAATCCCGCCTGGGCTGGATCTCTCCACAACTATTCCAGTTGTGTCAGTTCACCTACTCATTAATTTATAGGCCTATTACCTTTCTAATAAATGAAAACATACACGCAGTGGATAGTGATGGTTGTACATCTTGTGCGTTCATAATGAGAATAAATGATTTTCACTAATGACGTATGATTATCATTAAATAGCCGACTACTTTGATTTCTGTAACAAAAAAAAACAAAAAAAACTGTGTCTATGTATGTTTTCTTTCCTTTACACTTCAAAAATAAAAATTTATTATGGGCATAAACCTAGCCTAACTCGAACTGCCGAACACATCACCAATTGAATTGCATGCACACATTTTCATTGCACTCACTTAATAAATTGTCCACATAACCTAGTTTGAATTAAAACATGTCAACAAATGGTCACCTTTATATATAGCATGTTGGCACTATTTCTACATTATTTGCTTACCTGTGACAGCTCCTTCATCACATGCGTCCAGTGCATCCGTGCGTCTCACGTTTGGATAAGTTTTGTACCTTTTATAATAGCGCCATCTGCAGACCAATTAGGATTGGTAGCGTCCAAAAAATAAAGGAAAAGTGAATAAAGATTCGCTGAAATGATATTTGACAGCCAGCAATACAGTACAGCTGTAAAAAGTAGAATGATTGTCTGATTTAAGATTTCTCGTTTTTTCACGAATATTATTTAATCCGAGCATCAAGTGTCTGTAAAGTAGCTAAGAGAGTCACAACAATGTATAAGTAAGAATTCAAGTTTTGCAAAATAGTTTCGAATATAGGCTATTCTCTATCTGTTTTAGCATAACGTTCCACATTTTGTTGCTCTTTTGTCAAGCGGTTGCTTTACTTTGAAACATAATGCTATTATTCGTTTGTAATATATCTGTTGATGGATTTAGGGCAATTCCACGATAATAGAGTAACACTGAGACTCAGATGCAAAGTTTGGTAACAGAATGATGGGTTGTTTGTGCCTATATTCTCTTATCAAACTTTGCATCGGCACTGTTCTTCAAGTAAATGTGTTTTTGTAACATTTTCTGTGTTGGTTTGTTTAACTTTGCAATCATTGGTTTTTGTTTGATGTACATTTTAAAGTGAAAAATATGAGCCTCAGTGTCACTCTGTTAACATGGAATTACCCATTTAGGCTATTTCAATAAGGCTGCATTTACACAGGCAGCCAATTCAGATCTTTTTTTGCCACTAATTGGTATTCTGACAAATCAGATCTTTCCCATAATTGGGCAAAAGATCAGAATTGGGCGCTGATAAATCTGAATAATAAAATGTCAGCACCCTCAACCCCTAAACATCTTCCTGCGGCCATGAGCCTATCTGTGCCAGTGTCTCTGTCTCAGGCTACAGCGTTCCTGCCCTCCCAGCCGGTCAGACTGGCCAGTGTCACCTGCAAGGACCACTCACACTCGCACACATCACAACAAGGTCCTCTCTGTGTTCGACATCAGCATTAAAAGAGATCCAGGGTAAAGTGTCAAGTTGAGACGTTTAAAATCTTCATCTATTTAGATTCTCGTTACCTGTTACTTTAACAAGCTTGTCCCCAAGGTTCATTTTGTCAGTTGTACTCATTTTCATGGTTGTGTTTAATGGAGTTTTGGTCTAACTGTCACACATTTTCTCCTACTTCAGTTGAGCAGGTGGAGATATTTGAGTTGGTATTTGAGGGCAGGACCTCCGACTTCCTTCTGGAGGGGAAGGGCAGCAGCACTCTGTAATAATAATAATCATTTATTAAATTTCTATAGCACTTTTCATCATTTCAAAGCGCTTCAAAAGCCCCAAAAACAAACAAGCAGTCGTGTAGCTACTGAACCTCCTCCTTCACAAAGTACAGCACCCACTTGTGTGATGCCTCAACAGCTCTGGCCGCCAGAAAGCTCACCACACACAGTTCAGAGTAGTAGCCAGTCGTCCTTACTACGAGCCCTCTGTCTCAGTACTGCATTCCTTTACTGCATCTCACATTCCTCTCAAGGTTCAGGTGACTCTTCAATTGATGTTTTCAAAAGATCAGGAACCAGCAGGCAGGTGAAACCAAAACAGCTGGTACAGTTAGTGGTGCACGACTCCAGGATTGTTGGAGTCGACTCCGACTCCTGTGATTGGAGTCGACTCTTGCTCAACTCCAACTCCTGTGGTTGGAGTCAAAGGAGTCGACTCTCGACTCACAAAACACAAATGTAATGGATGCTCATACAATCTCATGTTAATTTAACCTTTATTTTATCAGGGAGTCATACTGTGACTAAGGTCTCTTTTACAGATGAGCCCTGAATTACATTAATTACAGAAAATACACACATCAATATAAATACAAAATGCAAGCAGACAGAACAACATGGTCATATAAAACTAACTAATTCATCAGTAATAAGGTCCTCAATCTGCCTTCTGAATTGCCCTAGAGGCACCAAAACATAAAATGTAAGAACATTGTGAAGATTGTTCCACAAATAAGGTGCAAGAAACCTAAAAGCTGATTTACCTAACTCAGTAGACCAAAGGAATTTCCAGAGTTAACCATCCCTGAGACCGGGTGTGGTAGCTCATGTCTAAAGTTTAGTAAAGATGTTAGGTACAGTCAGTGGCGTGTATTCATGGACGCCAAGTGACGCCAGGCTTCCCAAAATAATTTAAGTATTTTATGTTTTTATTTTTTATCTTTCGTTTATCTGTGTTTCATAATTTCCCTTCAATTCGCAAGAGGCTGAATGTATCTCACAGGAGAAAGCATCTGAGTGAGCGAAACAGCGCCCCTCTTGTCTCTCTACGTGTAGGCCATCTATCTGATACTGTCTGGTCCAAACGAGTATGACATTGTTGCCGTCCATAGCATTGAATGCAAGGGAAGCCAGCGAACATTTAGCCTCCCTTGACAAAAAAAGTATACAAAATGTGGTCTTAGCAGAAAAAAAAAGTGTTAAGAGAAGCCAGCTTTGATTTGGCGTCTCTCCAATCAAATCGCTTGGAAAGCATATTTCATTAACAGAAATAACTTGAATTGTTGCATCTCCTTGTGTTGTTTTCTTCCGATGGCTAGCTAGCAAAAATTGGCCCTTTCCTACATTTGCCATGGATGGAGATAGGGATTTGGACTTGTCGTTTTACTTAATTCCCCGTACTGGCCAATGATTATAATGGCGATTCTGATACAACCATTAATTCATACATTGTTGTGCCCCTGGCCTGAGAGGACGGAAGTTCAATATGTAAAGTAGCTAGATGTATAACGCTAATGTTAACTAGCTAGGGTGGGGGAAATTGCGAAATACAGCATTGCGGTAGCCTATATCTTTTGATTATCGATGCACGGTTCGGACTGTCTGCCTAGTGGCTGACATACCTACCTATGCTTGCCTGCTCTTTCTTTGCTGTGAAAGATGCGAAAGTTCGTGTTCTCGAAGTAGACTACGGAAAGTAGTTTCCTCCGTTGCAAAAATACTGAATGTTAGGAGTCGATTCCAGTTTGACACACAGAAATGGGAGTCGACGGGCAAGGAGTTGACGAATCAATTCATTTGGAGTCGAATCCCCACTACTAGGTAGTGTCCAGATGCATAATTCGAACAAAAACAATTAGCCATCTAGCTAGCCATGCCAAAAAGAGTAGCTTCAAGGACCATAATGGACCAATCTCCTCCATTTTGTGGTAAACTTTTCACTCTTATTTGTTGTGCGTATCTACTACAGATGATAATAACCATGGATATAATTGGACTGTTTGATTAGGTGCTCTACTAGTATCAGGGAAACGCATGTCTGCACTATACATAGGATTGGGAAACCACACATCTGCAGTGTTCTAGATCAACATATTCTCCCCTAGGCTCTCACTCCATGTCCAGGTACAGAAAGACATTTCCATCCGTCATGGAAACAAATAAAATAGTACATTCTGGCTCAGTATTTAATGTTGGATTGATGTACTGTAGTGATGAACTGGATGTACATTTAATGTCTTGTGTTTACAGAGCGTTCGTAATGTGGTCTGTGATTACTCGAGCATTGTGGCCTCAGTGGAAGCAGTTGATAGGATGTCCTGAAGGCACTCTTTCAACTCTTGAGCAACACTGCCCTCTGGGAGGACTTCGCAGGTGCTACAGCAGTTCGCACCAGTCAATGAAATGTCTACATGTTTACGAGTAGTTTAATCATTGGTATTGTGCCTGCTTTATAAACAATTTGTTTATGCAATTGACATTGTAATCAATAACTAATTCAGATTAATATTGCCATTATGTTAAGCCTGCACATGCAAGAATGAATGGGGAAACCATTGCAGTTTACTGTGCCATTATACTTTATTTTTGTGTAATACCACATTTCTGTACAGGGATGGTGATAGTCACTGAGCTGGCTTTATGTGGAGATGAAGTATTTCAATTCCTGTGTTGGATGTTACATGTTCAATATAACTAAAAGTATTTAAGGCATATACTGTAACAAATACTCCACCTTGATCTGCTTAACAAAATCAAACTGACACTTTTTTAATTTTAAACTCTCAAATAAACTGCATTTCCTTGGGTCTGCATTGTAAATTGTACAATATTGAGGTAAACAAGTAATCGTTTATATACAATACACTTAAAGTACAATATGTGATGACAAAATAACAAAAACAGTGGATTTAAAACAATCCAAACTGCGCAGGAAGGCACAACATATGGCTGTTTGATATATAACAAGTCTATGCATAGGGACGGTCTGGAACAGAATCCAGCAGGGCTATGGGATCAGAATCATAGGGACGGTCTGGAACAGAATCCAGCAGGGCTATGGGATCAGAATCATAGGGACGGTCTGGAACAGAATCCAGCAGGGCTATGGGATCAGCATCATAGGGACGGTCTGGAACAGAATCCAGCAGGGCTATGGGATCAGAATCATAGGGACGGTCTGGAACAGAATCCAGCAGGGCTATGGGATCAGCATCATAGGGACGGTCTGGAACAGAATCCAGCAGGGCTATGGGATCAGAATCATAGGGACGGGAGGCATAAATGGTACCTCATCCTCCTCTATGGCTGTAAACCTCATGTCATGTAGGACCAGCTTGAGGATCTCTGCCAAGGCCGGATACACCGCTGAGCATTTTTCCCATCTGTGAAGAGTCAAAAAAGCTGTTTATACCCATTGAAACTTTTAAAAAACGACTGTGGTTAAAAGGGAGAACGCTACATCATCTAGTATTCTACCTTTGTGAAAGCCTTGATGGTGCGCTCCAGGAAAGCAGCCTCCACCTCTTCTGGTATTGTGAGAACATGAGCCATACAGTCCAGAATGCACACCAACATCTCCCTGGGAGCCTGGAGGGGGTGTGATCAAATAGATTAAAAAACAACTATTGTTGAACAAAAATGTGTCTTCTGCCTTTCCCAACACCCCCAGAAACAGTGCAGTGCCCCTGGATGGGGAACAATTATGTGGGGTTAAGTGCCTTGCTCAAGGTAGATAGTCCATTGGATCAGAGACCAGCAGCCTTCCAGCTGCCAGTTCAGTTCCATTCCCATTTTTGTGTTGCCCTGCCCGGGGCTTTCGGCTGCTGCTCCTCTAACCTCTAGGCAGCTGCCGGCCCCCAAATGAATAGGTTAACTGAACAGAAGTAGTCAGTAGATTCACACAGTATTTAGTAATTCCAAGTTTTCTGTGGTAGATCTATCATGTACAGTAGGATTGGGCCAAGAGTGAGAAGCCCTGATGTGGCTTACAATAAGTGCTGCTGACCTGGTCCAGTGGTTTGAAGACAGCCTCTGGGTTTGCAGGGTCACTGTCGTTAAGGTCCAGTTTTTGTACATCCTTGACGGAGATGACTGGCTCCTTCAGCTGCTCCAGCCAGGTCCACATGAGCCCAGAGAGCACAAATGGGTCCTTCTCCAATGTACACAGCCTCTCCCACGCCCCTCCCATGTTTAACCCGGACTGCAATCACATACAGAATAGACAAATCAGTGCCGCCCAAGCACACAAAAGGCCTAGTGGAGCTAACCTAATGGCACTGCAGTATCAAAAAGGAAAATCAAACCTATATGAATTTCCTTTACAGTGAGGGAAAAAAGTATTTGATCCCCTGCTGATTTTGTACGTTTGCCCACTGACAAAGAAATCATCCGTCTATAATTTTAATGGTAGGTTTATTTGAAGAGTGAGAGACAGAATAACAAAACAATCCAGAAAAAACGCATGTCAAAAATGTTATAAATTGATTTGCATTTTAATGAGGGAAATAAGTATTTGACCCTCTCTCAATCAGAAAGATTTCTGGCTCCCAGGTGTCTTTTATACAGGTGACGAGCTGCGATTAGGAGCACACTGTTAAAGGAAGTGCTCCTAATCTCAGCTTGTTACCTGTATAAAAGACACCTGTCCACAGAAGCAATCAATCAATCAGATTCCAAACTCTCCACCATGGCCAAGACCAAAGAGCTATCCAAGGATGTCAGGGACAATATTGTAGACTTACACAAGGCTGGAATGGGCTACAAGACCATCTCCAAGCAGCTTGGTGAGAAGGTGACAACAGTTGGTGCGATTATTCGCAAATGGAAGAAACACAAAATAACTGTCAATCTCCCTCGGCCTGGGGCTCCATGCAAGATCTCACCTCGTGGAGTTGCAATGATCATGAGAACGGTGAGGAATCAGCTCAGAACTACACGGGAGGATCTTGTCAATGATCTCAAGGCAGCTGGGACCATAGTCACCAAGAAAACAATTGGTAACACACTACGCCGTGAAGGACTGAAATCCTGCAGCGCCCGCAAGGTCGCCCTGCTCAAGAAAGCACATATAAAAGGGCCATCTGAAGTTTGCCAATGCACATCTGAATGATTCAGAGGAGAACTGGGTGAAAGTGTTGTGGTCATATGAGACCAAAATCGAGCTCTTTGGTATCAACTCAACTCGCCGTGTTTGGAGGAGGAAAAATGCTGCCTATGACCCCAAGAACACCATCCCCACCGTCAAACATGGAGGTGGAAACATTATGCTTTGGGGGTGTATTTCTGCTAAGGGGACAGGACAACTTCACCGCATCAAAGGGACGATGGATGGGGCCATGTACCATCAAATCTTAGTTGAGAACCTCCTTCCCTCAGCCAGGGCATTGAAAATGGGTCGTGGGTGGGTATTCCAGCATGACAATGACCCAAAACACACGGCCAAGGCAACAAAGGAGTGGCTCAAGAAGAAGCACATTAAGGTCCTGGAGTGGCCTAGCCAGTCTCCAGACCTTAATCCCATAGAAAATCTGTGGAGGGAGCTGAAGGTTCGAGTTGCCAAACGTCAGCCTCAAAATCTTAATGACTTGAAGAAGATCTGCAAAGAGGAGTGGGACAAAATCCCTCCTGAGATGTGTGCAAACCTGGTGGCCAACTACACGAAACGTCTGACCTCTGTGATTGCCAACAAGGGTTTTGCCACCAAGTACTAAGTCATGTTTTGCAGAGGGGTCAAATACTTATTTCCCTCATTAAAATGCAAATCAATTTATAAAATTTTTGACATGCGTTTTTCTCGATTTTGTTGTTGTTATTCTGTCTCTCACTGTTCAAATAAACCTACCATTAAAATTATAGACTGATCATTTATTTGTCAGTGGGCAAACGTACAAAATCAGCAGGGGATCAAATACTTTTTTCCCTCACTGTATGTACAAATGTAGTTGTCAGATAAGGTTCAGGTAAACATGATTCGTCAATTGTGCTATGTTACTCTATAAGTACCATCACGTCTTATAATATTTCAGTATATCGAGATTGTTATATTGTATGTACAGTATTTTTTAAATGATGGGATTGAATATGGAGTTCCTACCTGCCAGGCGTGGAGTCTCTCCCTGTGCTCCTCCTCTCCATCCAGCTCCAGATCCACAGCCAGAGCCTGGGCCACCAGCTGCCGCCTGGCCTCCTTGGACAGCTCTGTCTGGATGGTGATGAAGGGCACCTCTGACTCCTCTATCTGAGACACATTCACATTGTTTGCTAACTTCTCCCTCTGCTTCTTCTTCCAGCTTAACAACATGCTGCCAAACGTTTTCTGCTTGGGGTGGCACTCGGACTCGCTGCGCTGGCAGGCTTTCTGACTCTTCTTTAGGAGTGGGGATCCCTCCGCCAGGCTCTTCTGCTCCCAGAGGGACCCATGGGGGAGGGATCCATTTTGGGAGCTGTATGTGGTGGTGACGTGGCTGCCTGTGGCCAGGGTTCTAGGCAGGGAGTTCAGGGAGGGAGAACAGGCCACAGGCACGTTGCTAGAGGACAGAGAGTTGGAGAGAGGTTGGGTCAGCAGATGGAGCTCACAGCCTAGCCTCTGCAGGTCCGACTCGCTGTAGCTCAGGCTCTTGCGGTGGTAGAAGAGGGCCGGTTCGTTGGCGTGTCGGTGTTTGGTTGGGGGTCCCGGTAAGCGGGGCTGGCCCCCCATGCTGCCTCCCCCGAAGCTACCCTTGGTGAAGCCAAAGTCGCGGTAGCGCTCAAACTCCATCTCCTCCTCGGCCGTCATGTCAGGGATGTCCAGCATGTCCTCCTCGATGACCTGAGAGTGCTCAGCGATGTCCAGCAGCAGCTTGCAGATCACCTGGATGATCTTGGGCAGGTGCCTGAGCTCCCGGCGCTCATAGCCGTGCAGCATGTGTCCCTGGCGGGTCAGGAACTGGGACAGGGTCACTGGGTTAGTCCTGGGCTCAGCACAGGAGAAAATACTCCTGACGGGGACCAGGAACTGGGCAAACTCCCGCACGCAATACAGCTGACCTCTGGTCTGGATGGAGTTGGGACGTTTGGAACGTACAAACACGATGGCCTGGTCAGCGGTCATCCTGGTGGCGAAGACCAGGTAACACGCTAACAACACACCTGAGAGAAGACACATGCAAAACCATCAGCGTGATGGTCAGTCGTGACCACAAAGCATAGTCATTTGATTACTGTGACTGTCATAAACCTTTTTGTCCTATACTACATTACCTGTTCTTCCCAGACCAGCATGACAGTGGACAGCCATTTTCCCCTCCTGAATCGCAAAGGACATAACTTTCACCATGTCCAGGATGGATGTGAGGGAGGCCACCCCATAGTCATTCCATCCAAAGTTATAGAAATATACTAGAGTATAAGGACAGTCATTATTTAACCATTCTCATTGTATGTTTGCCTTGGCCTTCTTTAGTTTTCCTCATTGTAGAGAAAGTCATAAACTTACTGTCATTCTCCATCAACACCTCAGGTCGGTAGGAGAATCCACTCTCTGGTTCCAGTGTGTTGGGACCACAGCTGGCGTGTTCCCCTGGTCTCTGCAGGTTTATCACAGTCTTCAGGCCACATCTACAGTGGGGAAAAAAAGTATTTAGTCAGCCACCAATTGTGCAAGTTCTCCCACTTAAAAAGATGAGAGAGGCCTGTCATTTTCATCATAGGTACACGTCAACTATGACAGACAAATTGAGAAAAATAAATACAGAAAATCACATTGTAGGATTTTTAATGAATTTATTTGCAAATTATGGTGGAAAATAAGTATTTGGTCACCTACAAACAAGCAAGATTTCTGGCTCTCACAGACCTGTAACTTCTTCTTTAAGAGGCTCCTCTGTCCTCCACTCGTTACCTGTATTAATGGCACCTGTTTGAACTTGTTATCAGTATAAAAGACACCTGTCCACAACCTCAAACAGTCACACTCCAAACTCCACTATGGCCCAGACCAAAGAGCTGTCAAAGGACACCAGAAACAAAATTGTATACCTGCACCAGGGTGGGAAGACTGAATCTGCAATAGGTAAGCAGCTTGGTTTGAAGAAATAAACTGTGGGAGCAATTATTAGGAAATAGAAGACATACAAGACCACTGATAATCTCCCTCGATCTGGGGCTCCACGCAAGTTCTCACCCCGTGGGGTCAAAATGATCAAAAGAACGGTGAGCAAAAATCCCAGAACCATATGGGGGGACCTAGTGAATGACCTGCAGAGAGCTGGGACCAAAGTAACAAAGCCTACCATCAGTAACACACTACGCCGCCAGGGACTCAAATCCTGCAGTGCCAGACGTGTCCCCCTGCTTAAGCCAGTACATGTCCAGGCCCGTCTGAAGTTTGCTAGAGTGCATTTGGATGATCCAGAAGACGATTGGGAGAATATCATATGGTCAGATGAAACCAAAATATAACTTTTTGGTAAAAACTCAACTCGTCGTGTTTGGAGGACAAAGAATGCTGAGTTGCATCCAAAGAACACCATACCTACTGTGAAGCATGGGGGTGGAAACATCATGCTTTGGGGCTGTTTTTCTGCAAAGGGACCAGGACGACTGATCCGTGTAAAGGAAAGAATGAATGGGGCCATGTATCGTGAGATTTTGAGTGAAAACCTCCTTCCATCAGCAAGGGCATTGAAGATGAAACGTGGCTGGGTCTTTCAGCATGACAATGATCCCAAACACACCGCCCGGGCAACGAAGGAGTGGCTTCGTAAGAAGCATTTCAAGGTCCTGGAGTGGCCTAGCCAGTCTCCAGATCTCAACCCCATAGAAAATCTTTGGAGGGAGTGAAAGTCCGTTTTTGCCCAGCGACAGCCCACACAACATCACTGCTCTAGAGGAGATCTGCATTTGGAGAATGGGGCCAAAATCCAGCAACAGTGTGTGAAAACCTTTGAAGACTTACAGAAAACGTTGTACCTTGTCATTGCCACAAGGGTATATAACAAAGTATTGGATGAAACTTTGTTATTGACCAAATACTTTTTCCACCATAATTTGCAAATAAATAAATTAATATCTGCATGGTTTTCTGATTGTTTCCCATTATCGCGGCAACAGTTGACGTGTACTTCGTGAGAACATTACAGGCCTGTCCTACATCTCATTTAATGGGAGAACTCACATTGGGGGACTAAATACTTTTTCCCCCCACTGTATATATATATATACACATACATACACACATCTATTATTTTATATTTACTAGCTGTATTGAACTGATTTATGAGGAGAGCAAACCCAGAAATAGTAGGTCTATTAAATTACCTTTTAAATTGGTCAATGATGTTGTACTTTTCTATTAATGCAGTAGAGGGCCTGGCCATGGCAAGTAGGTTCTCCGTGACCCTGAAAAGAAAGGCATGTTTCTGCATTAAACTTATGGGTATAATCCATTTACATTCAACATACACATTTTCATAGAGCCTTTCTGATTCCTACCAGGAGGAGTAGAGGCCTTTGATGGCCTGCTTGTCCTCGCTCCAGCAGTCAGGGTTCTCATACTTGCAGTTCAGACCTCCACACCATATGGAGCACTGTGTGGGCAAAGGGATGACGTGACGTATCACCTCCCCGACCAACGTGTACTTCGCCCGGGGGGTCATGACTGGGGGACACAGGGAGGATTGGGGGTTTTAGAGGAGAGACGAGGGGTGTTATCAAGGGTGGTGGGATGGTGGTGTTTGTAGAATATCATCCTCTGTCACTTCAACCATCTGAGCTCAGCAGTTCGCGCTCAGAATTATATTTTATGTTGCAGTCTGCTTGTGGAGACATTTTGGAAATAACTGATACTTCAATGGACTACCATACAGGTAAAGCATACACTACAGTGTTTCTTCTTTCTGAAACAAACTGCAGAATCAACATCTGTGATTGGATTAGCACACTGTAAATAAGTAGTGTAAAGTTTAAGTATGAGGTGTTCACAATGTAAAGAAGTAGTGTCAAGCTTAAGTATGAGGTGTTCAGCCATTTACAGCTAGCTAATCTGTCTGGCACACTCCACCAGACGTAACTGAATTACTGTAGAAATAGCAACACAACAACCTATTTCAACTTTTCATACATACTGAACAATTATTTTTGTTAACAGTACTAGCTATATTATCCTCTATGATATATTAAAGGCATACCTGACTCCATGAAGAGGTAGGGGACTCCACTGCTTGTCTGAGGGTGGAGTACTAGATGACGGAATACTCAGGCAGACCTCCACTGACATGGCAGTGCCTTGACACACACACACACAGGTTAGTCTAAGATAAAAATCTAATCACATTAACAAACAAAGTAACAGCAACCTCAAAATAGTAAGATAAAGTATAATCAGCACTTACACCTGCAGCAACAAGGATGTGGAGCTAGTGATCGTCAGCATCTTCAGACATCAACATAAAACGACTCCACATGCCCACAGACAGCAGTCTGCACAGATGCTTTCATTCTAAGCTTTAGTAGTCCTGCACCACCCCGGGTCTTCAGTTAATCAGCCTGGATTATCTCTGTAAATGAGGGTGTGGCAACGACACCATCCACTGAATCCATTATGCTCATCTCTGGACTGCCAGTGCCATGTAGCTCACCAGGAACAGCTATTTTGACCCATGGGAATATAGCATCCTGGGCTGCCTCCATTGAAAGGTGTCAGAGAAAGGAGGTGGTGTAGATTGATCTGTAGCATGGCTCTGGACATTAAGACAACTCCCTGGACACTCCTCTCCTCTCCTCTCCTCCTTAGTCATGTACTGTACCTCCCTCAGGAGGAGGAGCAGTAGGAGGGCTATTCCTGACTCCTGGATTAACCCACTAATCTCATTACTGTACAAATAGGTTCAACAGGCAAAAGCCCCAGTGGCCACTCAAATTCACAATAGAGCAAAAATGACTGGTAATCTCTGACCATCTAGATTTGAACTCCCTTCAGTTCATAACCACACTGAGATAACATTTGTTTGTCATTTCATTACTGTCTCCGGATCAATCATCCAGAGATATCATGTGATCAGAAATCAATACATCCAATGTACAGTATGTTTACACCAAAATATTAACTGTAATCTCATGGAGTTCTTTCAGGGTGCTATGCTGCACTGTATATCAATCCTACACACAAAAATCCTATGGTACATTTATTTATTTGTTGATGGGATTAACAACCAAAGTGAAGCAACTATCAATGACTGTGATATCCAGGTTCAGACACTGTAGTCTAGATCGACTCTACCCTACTCAGGTAAGGGGCAGGACCTGAATGACATAGGAAGCACAGTGTCAAGTTCGATCATGATTTGTTTACCTGAGGTACTTGAAAGATGATTATGGATACGTCTAAGAAGGAAAAGATACGACACTGACGCATCTCAGGCCATTCTGCAACCATGAATGGTAATTGGGAAGGGAAAGTGTTAACTCCAGCCTCCTTGAGGTAAGATGGAACCTTCTGGTAGGGTAGAACGTGTTGCCAACAATGGCTTTCGCAACAGATGATTGATGAATGTGTGACATGGTAAGGAGGATAAATTGATTAGTGGATTGACAGTCCTGCACTTAACTGATTGTATTGTTCATGAAGGATTTAAGGTTACTGTAATCTCTGGTATTATCTGATCAGCTTAGTATTTCAGTCTTGTTGAATCCTCTGAGGACACAATGCTTAATTGTACACTCTTTTGTACAGATATCGAATTGTGTAGGAGTGTTACATAATAGAGGGTGATACATGGCCTCTGGATGAGGATGCTGTTGAGAAGATTAGCCTGGCCGGATGAATGAGATCATAGTGTGGGACAGCTGTCCAGGCAGGCCTAACCAGGGACAGACACAATAACTAAATTAACGTCTAGAAACAATCTCTAGTCCCTCCCTCTTGACACTTAATCTAGATCTGAACGTTTTCAGTAGGTAAACAAAAACCAGCTCAATGGCCTTTGTGGTTAAAGAGTATCTCCCCCCCCCCCCCGGTCAAGTTATAACATAGACTCTAAAAATGGCACCCGTCAACCGATGCCCCTCTGCTTGGCACTCAGTTGGATTCAGGTAAAGGCCCTGCGGCAGACTAGTGGACAAGGCTTGTAGTACCTTCTGATAGCCCGGGGGGAGGGGGGGGGGGGGGGGGGGGGGGGGGGGGTAGTACCCTGGTTGCCTGCAGAGGAGAAACATTGACCTTATGGCTCCATCACCTGGCTACAAATGGCAGTGACAGGCAAGGATTCCAGAGCAGTAAAATATAATTAATCCTCACTTTGGTCATAAAGCAGCTCAGATTGCAATATGTCAACTATTTCCCCTAATAAAAGGAGTCACATTAATGTATATAATTCAAATATTTTAATTTAATTTGATCAAGGTCTTACGTCCCTCCAAGTTACATAAGGAATCATAGTGTTCTAAAAGTGAACATACAGTATAAGCATGAATTCAAAAGGTAAAATAACAAGTGCACATAAGGAACTGTGCCTTTCACAACCAACAGTACCGTATCAAGTGAAACAGCATCATGATAAAGGTAATGGAATCACAAAATGTATTTATACTGTCATTTTATTCTACTATGCCAGCGCAAGTCTACTCCATGGAGGGTGAGAGAACAATATGGTTTAACTCAACCAATAAGGATCAACTTAATATAAAATATTATATTGAGCTGTTATCTCACTGTGACACAGCACAATATCCTGTGGTGGCGTAAATGAAGTCTAATTATTGAATTTAATCATAAAATAATTTGGCCTCTGACCATAGAAGCACATAATGCCCACTGCCTGAGAGCTGCCTGAGAGATACTGAGCAGGTAAAAGTTGACTCGAACTATTGATACAGGATAAGATATAGATGTTTAATCCTAATGTTATTAATAGGACTGAGGGTAAGGTAATCTGATTCTAGATCTGTGACTAGGGGCAACTTCTACCTTCACCAAGAGATTCACCAGTCTCTTTTGGATGAGGTGACCAGTGCTGGGGGTACTGTGTCCTGTCTGTCTTTCCTCTCTGATCCCCTCTGTGGCGCTCAGCTTACATGCCAGCACACACTTATTTCTTCTTTTTTCTCTGAGGTCCTTTCAGAGAGAGAGAACGAGAGTAGAGAGTAGTTAATGAACAACACACTGACACACCAAAGGTAACCTCCTCTTTTGACACCCTGCCAAATCAAATGCAAAGGCCTTGTGGCACTCTAGGAGAGAAACACTGCTACATTGAAATGGTTGGTCCATCTAAACAGTGTGTGGTTATTCTCCTTTCCTGTCATACAGTCGGAGAGCTGTCCCACCTGCGGATACGGCAGTGCTCCTCCAGATCTTGTGGTTGAGTTTCTCCCCCAGCAGGTAGAGGGGGGCCATGGTGATGCTCGACACCCCCAGGAATATCACCAGGCCCACAGAATTCAGGCGCTCCATGATGGGGTACACCCAGATACCAGCCGCATGACGCACCCACAGAACCCTGAGGGGTGGGGGGGGGGGGGAATTAAATAGCGTGGTTATAGGAAGATGTCAAAATGTTGTTAAAAGTATCATAACATTCAGTTAAGGAGAGTGGAGGAGTAAGAGAGACGGCCTCGAAGAAACACAGAGCATTTTTCGTCAAACCACAACAACTTCATGTGATTGATAGAACCTTACTTACCATCCCAGATAAAGAACAGCTAAGACAGCCAGACCTAGGATGCCTCTCATCTTGCTGCCGTATCTATGAGGCTGAATATACATCTGCAACAGCGCCAATGGCAGGATGACAGTATGCTGTAAACAGAGATTAAAGACATGACTGAAATAAAGAATGACAGAAACCAACCCTACCATCATAGCCCCAAGTGTAACAATGTGTAATAGTCCATTGCATGTGTTGATGCATTTTGGCCACATAAAAAAGGGTAAGTCATGTTAGTGTTAGGCAAGAACTAAAAACATGCACCCCCTGGAAAAGATTGAGAAACAATGGGATAGACTGGAGAAATAGAGGAAGAGGTCAGGCCATTATGTACTCAGCACTGCCTGCTTGTGAAACATCTACAGCAAGTGTCTGTTAGACTTTTGTACAGCTCGCAACTGGTTAAAACCAGTTCTGACAAGGTATGCTACTGTAGCTCAGCTGGTAGAGCACGGCGCTTGTAACGCCAAGGTAGTGGGTTCGATCACCGGGACCACCCATACACAAAAAAAAATAATGTATGCACGCATGACTGTAAGTCGCTTTGGATAAAAGCGTCTGCTAAATGGCATATTATTATTATTAAAATTGTAAAACTGACGAGGTGTGTACTGTACAGGTGTAGTGGAGACAGAGGCCACAGAGTGAGAGGTGTGTCCACTGTGCACTTACAGATTACTAATGAAGCTTGTGTAGCTCTGAAATGTGGTCTCGATGGCTCAGTTGGTTGGAAAACACTGGCAACACTACATTGCTGTGTGACTGGCTACATTAATTAATATGCAATGCAACCATAATTGAATTATCAGAGACTGTTCAAAGCTAAGTGAATCTGACTATAATCCTATTCAGAAAACTCTACCCTTGAATTACTAAAACATGACCTCTTCAAAGAGCCATGTGATACAAAGCCACTGACCAGCACAGCCAATTGGATACAGCCCCATCTTTAATTGAATACATTGGGATCACACAGTCGGTACAAAGTCCACCATGTGCAGTTTGTGCACATGATTGTGACACTTACCATAGCATGGTTCAACCAGATAGGAATAATGTCATCTAGAAATGTTGGAAACACCAGCTCTCTGTTGTAGTGATATATCAACCAGAAGGACAAGAACACAAACTGGGGATTAGAGATGAAGAGAAAATTGGTTATTATGTCCAAATACAAAACATGTTATCAGTAATAGCATAGTTTAGATGTACTGTAGCTTATACACCTCATAAATGTGGTCAAATGTGCGCACACACAAAATATAAATATAGACATTAAAGGCACTTACTGTCCCAACAGGAAAAGCCCAAATGGTGAAAATGGTGTCTCTTAATTTCACTAGGAGGAGAGGTACACCACACCTCAAACTTTTGGATGGCAATATCAGGTGGATAATGTCAATCAAAACAACGAGTCCGAAGAACACCGTCTGCAAAACCTTTGTGGAAATTATGCAGAAATGGTTAGACTACTTAGGACACCGGCACTAGCAACATGGCTATATAAACACAGCATTGCAATTATATAATTGTCTCACTTGGCTCGAAGCCACAGGAAGGTCCAAAATGATGTAGGGTAATACAATAGCGCAGATATGGAAACGATTTCTAACATAGTGCCGGTTTTTTTGCCTACTGCAGGTCCCATTCAATGACATTTCGTTTGCATCGCCCTCGATGTTAACAACCAAGAGTAGCCACCAACCACACTCACCAGATTGAGGAAAGTCAGATATTTCCAGCGGCCTCCATATGTTTTAGCTCCTGGGTGGCCCTCTGTGATTTTCAATGAGCAATTCGCCGATAAGGTAAAGACATACCATGAAAATATTACTACATGAATGAGGAGATATGATCCCCATGACATGGTCGTAGCCATTTTGACTGCTTTTGAGCTTCCGCGCAGATAGAACAAAGAGCCAGATATTTCACCGGATGTATAAATGTGAAGCATCCGGTTGGCGTTTCCACTCGCTACCATATGGTGATGAGAGGAAGCCCAGTGTCCGGCAGTGGGAATAAAATGGAGCAAGATGGATTTTGGCTGACATTCTGCTAATTTTATCATCGAGGAAAGATTTGATTTCAATATAATTTTCTGTTTCCCAAACTAGAATCTATTACGAACAGAGTGTACTACGTCAAATAGAGTTTACCCTTTGACAAAGTTGTAAGAAATTGCTTTCTTTAGAAGGAATGCAAGGGCAAATTGAGTTATTTCACACATGCACTTTACATAATAGGCGTTCCCTAACGGAAATATGCAAATACATGCCAGAACGCGCCAATAGGATATCGCTAGCTCGTGCTTGGCTCTACCCACCTCCTTGCTTGTTTGACCCACTATGTTTAATTTGTTCCCATTGGATACGACAGGCTGTGGTCTATCTTGGCTTATTTATACAAATCTTTGGAATCCGTGTGAGAGCAGTGTGCACCAAACAACCTAAATGTATATCAATGACACAACCTAGAGGCAGAGTGCAGTACTCCTCAACGGTCAGAAAGATCCAATGTAACGATAATACAAACGTAACAACGGCAAGCGCAGACCACAGTTCATATTGTGACATAGCGTGCCAACAGCACAAACAGAATGTTGCAATATCCTCAGGGTGCGTAACTGGTTCATGATCACTTCTACAGCATCGCCGGTATGGTGTCAAATCCAATTCAATAAATAAACGAGCACTAGATGGCGCGCGCGAGCAAGATGAAACATCATTGCGCGAGCAAACAGAGGCGACAAGAAATGTGGTCGCCCGAGCAGAGGTCAGGACGTGTCCCAGAAGGGCACAGGCCCGCCGAGAGCGCAAAGTAAACTTGAGAGGTTGCAAGTGTGACTTTGAGCGAGCAGAACATCATTGTCACAGATCAAAAATTAAAATGTCTTAAACAGTACATATAGAACTGTAATCAAAGAAACGTGATTCAAACATGTAAAAACTTTATTTGAACGCATTCAATTGTCCACCAGCAATAGTAACTTATCATTGTCACGTTTTCGCTCTCAATTTCTCAAATTGTTCTCTCTCAAGTCTTGGCACCTTTGGGCTTGGATTTCAGGCTGATGGGGTCTGGCTTAAAGGCGGGTGCGTGTCTAGAAACCTTAGATTGGTCACATTCACTGGAGTGATGGACAAACTAACAAATTCCTGTCATTGGCCAGTCCTGTGTTGTGATTGGCTATTACGAGCCTTCTGTTTGTGATGCACTGCAGAGCCATCTGTTTGAGTTGATTGGTGCATTGCAAAAAGCGGGCAGAAGAGTGGAAGAAAAAAAACAAAGAATACAGTAGAGGTCGGGGCGCAGGTCTTGTGTGTAATGAAGCTTCGGACAGACAGGTGTGGGGAAGAGGGAGTAAAATGCCGGAAGTGGATGCTGAGTTTGAATCAAGCAGCGCATCGAGCAAAGTTGGTGAAAATGAATGTCCCGAATTGACAACAGTAGTGTTGAAAACTGGAACAAAAAGGAAATTGTCTAAAATTGGAGTGGAGGATACTTATATGAATGATAATGATTCACTTCTTGTTGGGATGCGTTTGTTGAGTAAGGATGCATGTGGGAAAACCTTTTGAGGTGTCAAATGGTGAAGTATGCACTGGGAAAAGTGAAGTCTGTCAGTGACCAGGAGTGGTCTTATTTTTGATTCATTGTATTTCTGAAGAACAGAGGAAGATTGCAGTGGACCTCCTGGTGTGGTTTCTGCCCGGCATCTGACCCGCTGGGTGAATGGTGAAAAATAAGAAAGTCTGTCGGTCCTGTTGTTTTTTGATAAAGAGCATCTACCTACGCATGTGAAGCTTGGTTATGTAAGATACACTGTAAGAGCTTTCGTTCCCAAACCACTGCAGTGTAAGAGTGGTCCTCTGTAGCTCAATTGGTAGAGCACGGCGCTTGTAACGCCAGGGTAGTGGGTTCGATCCCCGGGACCACCCATACGTAAAAATTTATGCACACATGACTGTAAGTCGCTTTGGATAAAAGCGTCTGCTAAATGGCATATTATTATTATTATTAAGAAATGTAAAGGATGTGTAGAAGAACAACAGTGTTGCAATTGTGGTGGGGATCATGATCCTGAGTTCCTGGATTGCCCTGTAAGGGTGTTGGAGATTGAGGTGGGAAAACTTAGAGCGACCAATCGAATCTCCTATGCGGAGGCAATTAAAATAATTGAGAAAATAAGTGATGCTATTGAAGATATGGTAGTGGATGCAACACAGCCTGTAGTAAATGTTTCCTGCCAGTCAAAAGATACCCTGTGTGTTTAAAAGGTGGATTTTGTGTCATTCATTGCCACAGTTATAAACTATAAGGCTCAAGTCTCAAAGAAGTCTAAGAAACTGGACATTATTGTGGCTGCGGCAGAAAAGTTTTTGGGACATAAGGATTTTACATCTGAAGACTTGCAAAGGGTACTGGCACTGGAAGACGGCCTGCCGTCCCAGGCTCCCTTGAGCCTGTGTAGGGATCAGATCTGGTAGTTTGGTAGTTTTTTTGGTAGATTGTTCTGTTTTTTGAGGGGGGGGGGGGGGGGGGGGGGGGGGTCCTGTTTCCATCCCGCACAGTAGGTGGCGGGATGCACATTAAATTGTGCAATCGCCAATATACCATAGAAGAAGAAGAGCCCTCTCTTTAGCTAGCTAGCAGGTTTGAGCAGTAAGTGCAGAACAACTTGGGAAACCCAGCAGCTTGATAAATAAATTCTAATAGGTATACTATACCTTGAGTTAAGTGGAATCTACTTGCTAAAGTCAGCTATAGCTTATTACTTGTTTGCCAGCAATGTTTGTCTGTAAAAGCAGACAGTCAGCTCTAGCAAACACCATAAAACAAGTCCACTAGTTGCAGGCAGGAGTCAATACTTAGGTTTTTAAGCCCAAGGACACGCACACAGCACATGGAGGATTTTGAATTACATGAAGACACAAAGGGAAGAATCTGCTACCTGCTACAGTTCATCCAGTACATAACCAGTCCCAAATAATAGAATGTAAACTGACATATGATAAACCAGCTAAACTCATGTTAACATATCAGCTTTATTCACCAAATACATTTGCATGTACAGGAATTTGACTCTGTGAAATGGTGCTGCCACAATAAACAGAATATACAGACGATAAACAGAATTTACAGACAAAAATATATATAGATGCAGAATCTCCACAGATCCACATACAGTATGTACACTGTGAACGCTATAAGCTAAATTATAAATGATGCATGTAAGATATGTGCAGAAAGTGCAAAGAGCAATGTGTAGGTGAGGATGGACTCGATGATGGTTGTTTAGAACTGCACTGAGGAAAACAGATTTGTTTTATAGTAATTTTCTGATTGGGAACTATCATTGTCTATCAATTACAGAATCTCAAATTATTTCAATTTGGCATTGGAAGTTTTATTGAATACTGTCAGTTAGACAGGAGTCAAATCGCAGGGAGTCTCATCAGCAAGCAAGAGCCATCTGTGGAAAGAGCACAAGTAGATCAAATATATACAGTGGGGAGAACAAGTATTTGATACACTGCCGATTTTGCAGGTTTTCTTACTTACAAAGCATGTAGAGGTCTGTAATTTTTATCATAGGTACACTTCAACTGTGAGAGACGGAATCTAAAACAAAAATCCAGAAAATCACATTGTATGATTTTTAAGTAATGAATTAGCATTTTATTGCATGACATAAGTATTTGATACATCAGAAAAGCAGAACTTAATATTTGGTACAGAAACCTTTGTTTGCAATTACAGAGATCATATGTTTCCTGTAGGTCTTGACCAGGTTTGCACACACTGCAGCAGGGATTTTGGCCCACTCCTCCATACAGACCTTCTCCAGATCCTTCAGGTTTCGGGGCTGTCGCTGGGCAATACGGACTTTCAGCTCCCTCCAAAGATTTTCTATTGGGTTCAGGTCTGGAGACTGGCTAGGCCACTCCAGGACCTTGAGATGCTTCTTACGGAGCCACTCCTTAGTTGCCCTGGCTGTGTGTTTCGGGGTCGTTGTCATGCTGGAAGACCCAGCCACGACCCATCTTCAATGCTCTCACTGAGGGAAGGAGGTTGTTGGCCAAGATCTCGTGATACATGGCCCCATCCATCCTCCCCTCAATACGGTGCAGTCGTCCTGTCCCCTTTGCAGAAAAGCATCCCCAAAGAATGATGTTTCCACCTCCATGCTTCACGGTTGGGATGGTGTTCTTGGGGTTGTACTCATCCTTCTTCTTCCTCCAAACACGGCGAGTGGAGTTTAGACCAAAGAGCTCTATTTTTGTCTCATCAGACCACATGACCTTCTCCCATTCCTCCTCTGGATCATCCAGATGGTCATTGGCAAACTTCAGACGGGCCTGGACATGTGCTGGCTTGAGCAGGGGGACCTTGCGTGCGCTGCAGGATTTTAATCCATGACGGCGTAGTGTGTTACTAATGGTTTTCTTTGAGACTGTGGTCCCAGCTCTCTTCAGGTCATTGACCAGGTCCTGCCGTGTAGTTCTGGGCTGATCCCTCACCTTCCTCATGATCATTGATGCCCCACGAGGTGAGATCTTGCATGGAGCCCCAGACCGAGGGTGATTGACCGTCATCTTGAACTTCTTCCATTTTCTAATAATTGCGCCAACAGTTGTTGCCTTCTCACCAAGCTGCTTGCCTATTGTCCTGTAGCCCATCCCAGCCTTGTGCAGGTCTACAATTTTATCCCTGATGTCCTTACACAGCTCTCTGGTCTTGGCCATTGTGGAGAGGTTGGAGTCTGTTTGATTGAGTGTGTGGACAGGTGTCTTTTATACAGGTAACGAGTTCAAACAGGTGCAGTTAATACAGGTATTGAGTGGAGAACAGGAGGGCTTCTTAAAGAAAAACTAACAGGTCTGTGAGAGCCGGAATTCTT